CTAAGAGGCCACTTTGCTGAGTAAATCTGAAGCTGTTGCAGTTTGCTTTTGTTTCTGAAATTAAGTTTCACATTTGCATATACATTCCTCTCTTCAAGCAAAGTCATTTTAACCTCTCTGCGCCAAAGTAAAAGCCCTTATAAATCTTTCTTTAGACTGTTGCAGTTGTGTCCAAGTCGCCTACATTAATAATCTAAAATTTGCTGCATGTTTAAAGCCACATGCAGGGCACAATTTCGTAAATGCCATCAATAAATAATCTTTAGGATGCTCAACTCTTTGGGAGGCTGTCTCTGCCCTTGAAAGCCTGTATGTTCAGTGAAAACACTGAGGTCACCAGCCAGTGGTGGTTATCTGACTCCGGTCTGGAGTCTCAGGTAGAGGACAGATTTCACTGTGAGAAATGCAGAGCGTCTCCTGCAGTTACACCATATCTCTCACACATACACACCACCCAGGGGCGGTCTGACAAGCACGGCCAAGTTTGGCTTTGGCAGGATTCGCTGGCACAGCGTTGGAGCGATGTGTTGTTATTTTATCTTTTCTGCAGATTGTAAAATGTAATACTGGGCGACTGTGAAACATCAGTGCTGACTTTTATCACAAAAGTACACATCAAAGACAGAACAGGCCCCAAAGCGTTTTGCATTAGCTTGAGAAAACTCAGCAGAACTGTCATCACAAGGTACAGCGACATAGCAATGGCCTTAACACAAATGCCCCTCGGCAAGAGGCCTTTGATGTGAGAAGAAGAGAAAACTTTCAAAATGTCAGTTTCTGTCTGCTTCAGGAAAAGGTGAATTCATCAACCATCTTAGCCGTGAGACGAGGAAGATGCTCCCAGCTCATAGCTCATATCAGACTTTGACAATGACAAATCAAAGTCAGGAAGGAGCTTCAGACTCCAACCTCTCCCTTTCCACTCGTACAGTAAGTCGCTGCCTGCCAACACAGCAAACTCGACTAAACTAAAAACGTCTAAAAATTCCTCAGGCAGATCGCCAGCTGTCAACAAAAGACATTACTGGGACTAAATCAGGCCGATAACATTTGAAGGAGAAGTATAAAAGCATATGTGCTTCAGAATTTTGAATGACAGCAGTATGTACAAAGAAGCGTATTATGTCTCCTAATTATACATGCTGGTACAAACCTAAGGACATTGAGCAAAACATGGACACACTGTCTCCCTCTGTTAATGCACTTGGTTCTGTGTCACCTGTCACTGCCACTGCAGATGTGTCCCTCAACAATTCAAACGAAAGCTAGGGTCCAACATCTATCCTTTCTGATCTGACCTTTCGAGTTCTCAGTCACTCTGACGTCCCGTTGTTATACCATGTAAAAATGAGAGGCCACAGTCTTTACCGAGTTTGACAAGTAAATCAGTTTTAAGGGGCTAGAAGTGGTGGAGAAATACTTCATCATCTTGACTTATGCCTCTGCATCTGACAGGCATCTGTGAGTACACATGGATGTGCATGCATAATCTATTTCACTGCAGGAGCAAAATTTCCAACATGGAAAAGTGCACTTTAGAAAGCACTCCACTAATATCACCAACAATTTGGCCTCATTTTAGAGTTTGAACAAAAAACAAAGTGAGGGTCGCGAACCAGGGATTTTACATTAGACTGAAGAGCACAACAGAGGTCAGTGTGAGTGTTAAAAGTATCTCTGGTGCTATGTTTCATCCAGGTGATAATATGAATAAACATGGAGTCAAATAATCACTGGGTTTGTGTTTGGTTAAGTGAAATTCAATGTCAGAGAGCCACAATTTAAAGGGACACTCCACCAGTTTATCAGTGGTGGGGGAAAAAAAAGCCAAGTACATGACCTCAACTACTTAACACTTTCTACTTCTACCTCAATGTATTTCAGAGCAAAATGTTGCACATTTTACTCCACTTTATGCATTTATCTAACAGATAAAATAATGTAAAAAACGTATGAAGAACCTTTAAAACATGATGGAGTGTAAAAGATAAATCCTCAGACGAGACGTTTGAGGATGCCACGTTGAGCTCTGTGTGATTGTGATGGACATTTTTCGCTGTTATCTTGTGTTTCACAAAGCCGAAAATTATTTGGTTAATTGAGATTAATTTATAATGAACATAACTCTTGGTTGCTAAAATTCCAAACACCCTTGTTCCAGCTTCTCCCAGGGTTTGTTTTGTTAGGATTTGCTGCCTTTCTCTGTTTTATATCACTGTGAACTGAATATCTCTGAATATCTTTAGGTTTGGTAGTGTCTATTGGTCAAACGCAACATAAGAAAGTTGTCACATTGAGCTCTGGACAACTTGCAATTGAGATTTTCAACTGCATACCTCATTATCACTGACAAAAATAAATCACAAGTTAGGCTTTTCATTTGTAGGGGTTCATTTCAGTCTTCATTTAGCCCTGTGTCAACCTGACAATGTGATATTTCACACTTTGAGGCTGAATTCTGGTCTTTAAATTTAACACGGCACATTTCAAAATCACATTTTCACATGAACTCAAATCACTTTTTTTTTTTTCTTTTCAGTTGACGTCTTTTGATCAAATTAGTTTGTCACAAAAGCCTGGACTGAGCAGCAAACAGCGGAAGCACAGAGAAAATGTGAAGGGAACACACACATTTCAACGCCGCTGTGTGTGCATGTCTGTGTCATTAGTAAGATAGATTTAGAATGAGTGTGTGTGTGTGTCTGTGTGTGTCTGTGTGTGTCTGTGTGTGTCTGTGTGTGTCTGTGTGTGTCTGTGTGTGCAAGCGCATATGTCAGCCTGCAAGAACCAAGTAATGACAGACTAGCAACAACAGGCACAAAGGCCCCTTAGGCAGGGAAGGAAAGGAGCAGCTGGTGTGGTGGAAGTTGAAGTATAAACACTATGAGCTTGATTTAAATAATAAGTTTCCAGGAACTGGCTGATAGTTTGTTCCAAAGGACTTGATGAATTAGAAGAAGGACCTTATAATCAACTTTAGAGCGAAGAGTGACTAAGACTGCAGTGACGTGATGATGTTTTCTGATTCATTTGAGTGTTCAGGCTTTGAATAAATTGTATATAAATGACTATGGAGAGGATATGTGGTGAAAAGTCCATTGCAGTAATCAACTCTGAGGCAAACAATTGCCTTAATAAGGTTTTCTAGGTCAACAAAGGAGAAAATGTCTTCCTCGTGAAGAGAGAGCTATCTAGGGTGAAACATGTTTTGGATATTGACGTGAGTGTCAGAGGAGTCTGGATCAAAGAGGTCTGAGCAGCCTTGCTGTGGGGCAAATGTGCAGCTGCTGACAATGAAAGGAAAGGAAAGAAAAGCTAGTTTTAGAGCAAAAAGGAGCATTTCAGCTCATCTGTAATGAAGGAAATCATGTTGCTTCACAGCCATTTTTAATGTGTAAAAGAGAGGGTTCAAACTTTGTAAAACTGGGTATCATCGCCTGTGTTTCTGTGTCACAATATAGGAATATACAGTCAACTGTGACCAAAACTATGTAGCATAATTCAGTGCTTAAGCATTTCACTGGTTTAATGTGAACAGGGACCGTAAACCTAGGACTGACGCACGACTACCGATTTAACACAATCTGTTATCAAACTCAACTAAATGAAACCCGCTGTGACGAGGAATGCGCCTTTGCAATATATTAGTCACAACTGAATCGTTACAGTATTTAGCATCAAGGAAAGTTTGTACAAGCAAGAGGTGAAAAAGCTCAGTTTATGAATTGATTAATTTACACAGAATTAGAATAAAAGGTGTGGAGGCAGAGGGAGGGAAGAATGAATATGATACTCATTCAAACTTACAGTATGCTTTCTAATTTATAAACAGCTACTGGGAGCTGTCTGCAAGGGAAATGAAAACGCTTTTGTTATGCATTGAAATATGGTAATGATGTCTGTGCATTTCTATCATCCCTCATAAAGAAAGGTTTACAATGAGACATCTGAAGGGGGCGACACGTTTTACTGTTTGGCTATTTCAATGACTGATACTCCCCTGGGACTTGTAAGTCCTAAATATACCAACAAGACTGATGAATATACTGTGACTAATGCAACCTTTAATGCAAGAGATGAGAACCTAATGTTTTATCCAAATGTGGCATTTTTTTTTGTATCTCAAAAAGCCCACTCTACATCTTGAATCTAAGACTTAATAGAGAAAAAGAATGAAGATGAAAACAGATGGATCAGCTCATATTAATTTATCTGAAGGCATTTTCAAAAATCACCATCTTGTTTAAAAGTCAGAAAATCCATTAACATGATTAAACAGCATAAAAAATGCTCGAGCCGTGTTTCTTTTCAAGTTTTCCTTTTAAGCTGATTTAATTAAAAAAGAAAAGAAAGCTTTCTGAAAACATACGTTCACCCTGCAGAAAGTGGCGCCATTAATTTTGTGGCTGTTTAACAAAGACACGAGTGCTGGAGCGCAGGAGGAACTGTAAGTAATGCAACAATGCTCTGAGGCAGGGTCATAAAACTGTACAAGTGTTGAAACGTCTCAGGGGAGCTTGACGATCTATATCCATCCACTGAACACTGTGAGGGGTTTCTAAATCTTATCAAAATGTATAATGAACTAGTAATGTGGCTTCAAAACACTACAATCTACAGTGCAAAAACCTCTGTGCAATTACAGTATTATTTACACTATAGTTATAGAACAAACATGAGATGTTTTTATCCTAAGAATGATGAAAAGTGAAAATAAATAAAGTTGTCAAAGCCATCCAAAATGTTCATGTTGCAAATATAATTTCATTGAATATTTACACTGCCCCATGCTGCAGAGAAATCACTTTCTTACACAGGCATATGGATAATCAGTAAAAAACATCTTTTCTAATACTTAAAGGAATAATCTGCAAAACTTATTGGCTATCATATAAAGTGCACTTTTATAGCTAAATATTAGTATTTATGAAATGTGATGACATATGGTAAGATGACCCTCTAACATCAGTTAAAGAATAAGGAAAGTGTTGCAACATTACCTGTATCTCTCTGGCATGGTATATGATAATCAGCCCCAGGAGAATGATTGTAGAAAGGCTTATCAGGCATTTTAGAGCTAATGAATACAGGGACTCCTGGAAAAGAGCAACAACACTAAAGCCAAACAACACACAGCATCATGACATAAAATCACATTCTTATATGGTAAAGCAGCTGTTACTTGTGTGACAAACATCTGGGCAAAAAAACACATAAAAGTAAGTAAAAATTCAGTTTGGTAAGGCGCACTGCAACAAATGCTGACATGATATCTTCTTATATTATGGGGTTCCCCTTCATGGTTGGACAGCAGTGGGCCTTCTGGCCTACATGTGACTGGAAATGTGACTAACTGGGATACTTTATAATAAGCTCAGACTTGTGCTGCTAAAGTGACTGTTTGTCTTTAACACTTTTGACAGAAGTTGTTTAATTTAAACGGCTCGCTCCCTCAGTCGCATGCCACTAAATTAACTCTAGGTCTAGACGGGACTGCGCGGCATGGGTAAATACGCACCTTTCCATAGGCTCCCCATGAGAGTTCAGTCTCTATAACCATAACAACGATCCCAAACATCCCAAAGATTAAAGCATAGTCGCTGAGCCGCTTCCTTTTCTCAAACAAGGCCCTCCTGTGCCCGAGCTTTTCCCCAATGTTCTGGTTCTTCTTTTTACCCGATTTACCGCCGCTGTGGCTGCAGCCTCCCCCTCCGTCTCCCGATGCGTAAGGCATCAGGGTGGTGGAATTATTCTCCGGCTTGGATACTAGAGTGTCCGACGCATCTGCGGCTGAGATGGGCTGTAAAGGCTGGGACTCGGAATCAAACTCGTGTATGTTTCTGCGGGACGAGCTCAAGTTGCTCAGCGGCCGCATTACGCCGCCGTTGTATCTGCAGCTGCTCATGGCTATTTCATTGTAGGAGTTACTGTCTTTGTGGCTGCTGCCCAGGCTGCCCCGCTGCCGATCGCGGCAATGCTGCTGCTGATGGTGAGGATGATGATGTCTGGATGAACTACCATGACTAGAGGGTGTGAACTCGCAGACGCTGTACTGGCAACCTTGCCTCGAAGACGTTTCCGAAGGTGTCCTTAAAGTTCCCACAGTGGTCGGCGACGTCCCGCGAAAGACGAGGCTTTTTCTCGCATCGCAGGTGCAGTTATTGCAGGTGCAGCATTGGTCGTGCTGCTTGACGAGCCGATCCTCCCGCCCGCAGTAGTGCTGGTACTTACAGTGCTGGAACTGCTGCTCTGGAAAGAAATCGTTCTGCAGCTGCAAAGGGGTTTCCATGTCAGTGCTGCTGTTTAAAGCAGCAGTCGGGTACCACAGAGCACCCGACGAAGGGCGTTATGGTACTTACGGGAGGACAGTGCCGCTGCATGAATAGACCCATTTCGGCTCCGGTAGAATGTGAGAGGATCCTCCGATTGGGCAGAGGGGACCAAAACAACTGGCTCGACGTCATGAAAAGGTTGCAACCATGGGATGTGAAGCCCAGCCTTATTTCATCAGGATCAACAAAAACTACAGAATTATTGCCTCTCTCTCTCTTTTTTTCTTTTCTTTTCTTTTTTTTTTTAAATTTGGAGATCTACCAGCACTTTTTTTTACACCAAACTGAGCTTTTGACAAAAACTACTTCACTTCTTTCTGAAACTGTAGCCACAAACGGAATAAAAAATATAAATACATTTAAAAGTATAAATTAAAACACACAGAAGGTGTATTTTCTCCTACTGTGGTTACATATCACTTCACCAATACATTTCAGCACTTTAAGATATGCCATTCTCACAGGTGTGATTTAGCTTTTGCAAACAACGCATATCAATCTATTCATAAATTCCTGACTGATTTCCCATTTATCGACTTCACAGGAAACACCCTGCAACCGTTGATTTACAAGGTGCTGATTTCATTCAGCTCATTGGCCGTCGACCATGTGACCGTGCAGGCCTGTAGCACTTAAATGACCGGGGCCTGTGTCTGCAGCCACAGATTGATGTGACCGCTGGTGGCTGCGTTATTAATGGAGTAGAAGAGTTATATCACCCTGAGGAAATACAGCCAACTGCCCGAGATTGAGCAGCTGTGGGGGCATAAACCAAAGCCCGAAACCCAATCATCCACACGTCCCGGCGTTGCAGCAGCAACAAATTTAGTCTTAGGGCTGTTAGGCTATATTGGAGTTATGTTTTTGTATTTGTAGTGGGATTTTAGTCAGAGCTGCACAGTTCGTTCATAAGGCTTTCTTTGCCACAGCTGCATTGGAGTCGTAAAGTTCTCGTTTTCTTATATATATCTCATCTCATCATCCATGAAAAACTAAACAAGTGTAAAGTTGGACGCTGATTTAAAATTTATATATTTAATATTTTGTGATGAATATAGGCTCGTGTATTGTTTTTGAATGGGAGTGATGAAAGTGGAGCTGTCCATGGTGCTGAAGGGCAGTCCATCATGAAGTAACTTTCAGCACCGCGGACAGCTCCACTCGCCCATTGATCACTACCAACCCTTTAATAAAACAATCCTTCTGCACAGGATCGCAATGCGCACTTACTCCTGATTGGCTGGATACACATACCACCTGACACCTCCCACCTTCTCTAGGCGGAAGCTTCTCCTTCTTCTCTTCTATGTGTGTGTGTGTGTGGAGTCCCGGTGAATGAACACAGGGTTTATAAATTCAACACACATATCGCTCACAGGATGGACAAACGGTATCCGTCCTATCCGGTTAATGTTTGAGCTGTGTCGTTGCTCTGTGGGACACAGTCAGACAAAATACGGCTGGAGAGCCGTTCATATAAGCTGAATGATGATCATTCTAGACGGTATTACCTGGCAACATGCATCTCAATCATGTAGTTATTTTCCGGATATCTTGGTAAATCGTAGTCCACCCAAAGTAGACTTTTTTCAAACACTTGATAGCCTTTGACTTCCTCACATTATCATCATACAATGTACTGCAAAACTACATTACAAAATATCTCATATTCTGCTGAGCTCATTTCAAAATTGTGTTACTGTGTAAAATCTGATTACTACATTTGATGTTTATTAAGTCTAAAACTCTTTGGAGCTGAATTAAAGCTGTTTGGTAACTGTTATTACTACTGCTCATAGGCGTTTAAAAATGACATTTCAATGTCAAATTTTTCATATAAGTCCTATTGAGATTGAGACTTCATTTCATCCCTTCATTCACAAGGGATACCTGTGTACATGTAAAAAAAAACAATAAAGGTTACTGAAGAGCATTAATATACATTAGAATATAGGAAAAGGAGCAAGCTATAAAAAGTGCATTAAAAAGCAGAACATATGATATTATTTCAAAAAAGAGGATCTGAATCAGGAAGATCTGTGATGAGCCTCACCACAGTGTTCATGAATTTCTTTCAGTTTAAGATTTATGGTCATGGGGATAATTATAAGAAGTGCATTCATATTCGTCATATACATATTATTCATTTATAGTCTGTGTTATTGTGGAGCTGGTTATTGCTCCCCCTGGTGGTGGAATTGAAAGTGGAGACTGACATGCCAGTGCACTTAAAAGAGAAGAAAAACTCTACTATTCTAGTGTGCTGCTGGCTCACAAAGGCTAACACGATAACTTTTAATTCATTATTCTACAAACTGATATATTGGTGCATCTTTTAAGGACTAAGCTACATTTAATTCAGATGGGATGTGTAGAGTGGGAGTGGTGTTTCAAATCAAATAGAAGATACAGAGAGGTTATTCATAGTCAAAGTGAAGCCTCCAACATCCATACATCTATAGCTATAGAAACAAGGAATCAATAATACAAAATCACAAAAAAAATACACAGTAGAAAAACATAGAAAAGTAGAAAAAAACAAAAGTCTAGAGGATTCAATGATACATCCCAATCAAGATTACAAACTCAAACCCCACATGCAGTAGAATATTTAAATATAAATGTAGAAATGTACAGTAAAAGAATGATACTGAGGATCACTGAGATTAAAATTTCTATCAATAGAAAAACTCAAGGGACAAATCTTTACTTGGACTCAAGGAAGAACTGATTATATTTTGGTTGTCAAATGTCACGGTCACCTCACAAAACACATTTTTAGCAATAAATTAAGACTCTACACAGCAATTATGACACATTTTTACACAATTGGTTAATATTTTATATATGATTCTGGATAAACAAGGATGTAACCTGAAACTACTCTGAGTGGCAGAGGCATACAACCGTGAATCAGTAATTCTATTTACTTTGTTAGCTGTTCACTGATTCCTATTGAATACTGTAGTTTAGATATAGCTATAGATTTGAGCAGCCTGTTCCGATCCTGAATTGTTATTCATTTGTATAGACTATAAATGTCCATCAGATCAAGTGTGGGTTTAATCCTGCAGAAGGCAACGTGTACCAAAATGCAGATTTTTCAGTTCCTAAATAAAAAAGTTGAATTGTGAGCTTGCAGCTCTCTCCGTTCTCCTTCTGATGTACCTTGAAAGGGAAACATAATGTTGCCTCACACAATTACAGAGTCAGCACCACTTTTCTCCGCAACGCCATGTGTTTACCTACTGGACTGTGTTTTGATCATACTGACAAGTAGGCAGAAAAATGTGGACTAAGGCAAGTCGCAAAGTGAGCAGCCTGCTTAGGTTGCAAGAAACATCCACTTAGAAGCTCAGCAGTAATTTCCCAGTTTTCCTTGGGTGAAGGTACCAGCCCATTAAAGAACACCAAGAACATTCTTGACCTCAATAGGTTCTTCCAATGAGTTGTGGCCGTTCTTTACCAACCTTCTTACTGTGAGTCTCCCATGTGAAAAAGCACCTTTCAGACATCCAAGAAAAGTTGAATCAAGGGCAACTGGACTTGGTTGTGGATACTTGAAAATGCATTGTAGATACTGGGCGATGTTTCATCTCTCATCTCATCTTTAAGTATCTTCAACCAATTCCAGTTGCCCTGAATTGAACTTTTCTTGGATGACCATGACCTGGATGACTGAGAACCTTCACAGATGCCTTTCGGACAGTTTTCCACTTCAGAGACATAAATTATATTGAGGCACTCTTTCACCTGTCCCTCCTGTACTGTAGCTCTGAAAGTTATCAATATCTTTGCACCAATGCCACCATGACAAATTCCTGTACATTTTACTATTAGAAAAAACTTTTATGTTCTTTGAAGAACATTGATTGCTTCTGAATTCCTATGATGATAGGTGAGAGATTGCTTTTGTTATGGTATTGTTATGAGCAGAGGTTTCATTTTGCTTGAGTGCCAGTGCTTCTTTTTAATAACTTCAAGGCCTCAGATGACTCTGACAGCACAGTTGAGACTCTTGATGAGATGATCAAAGCAATGAATGAGTTCAAGATCCTAAATGGTGCTAGGTGCTTGCAAGACTGCGAATGATTGCAAATGAAGGGTTTATTCATCATCTTATCCATAATACTTCAGCAGTTTGTACTATATGCAGTTGTGAATCTATTGAGATCAATATTTTTTCACTGGTCTTTTGACAATTGTCCAAAGCAGCAGGTAAATCATCCTGTTAAAAGTTTGTTCTCCTCCTTTTGAAACAAAACCCTTTTCTGTATGGCTGCTAGGTGCTCAATAGACCCTTAAATGAACACCAGGACTATATATTTGAATATTTGAACAACATGAGACTTAATGAGATGGAAGTTCTGCAGCAAATTGTACACACAATTCAATCATCCATCTGTATACTTTTATTACATTATATAAGCCATTACAGTTGTAATGTCAGGATGAACAATTAAAACAGTCTTAAAACTGACAGCTCTACCCTCCCCCATATTTATGCAAATACAGCAACTTTTGTCAAAACGCTGGGGAAAAGCTTCTGCATTCAGCCTTCTATGGGGTTTATGGTGTTCATTATTCGAGTGATATC